AGCCTCACGCACGAAGTCATGTAATTTGCAGCACTTGCCGTGTATGCCCTAAAAAATACAGGCCCGCCGCCACGCGGCCTGATATCAACGTGTGACCCCCTAAGCCCTAAGCCCTAAACCCTAAGCCCGAAGCCCTAAGCTTGGGCCTAGGCCTCTCGCAGCGGAAGATTACCTCATCCTCGCCGCTGAGTCGGGGGCCTCATGGCGCTCTGGGCATAAGGTTTAAGGTTTAGGGATCAGGGTTTAGGGTTTAGGATTTAGGGTTTAGGGTTTAGGCTTTAGGCTTTAGGCTTTAGGCTTTAGGGTTTAGGGTTTAGGGTTTAGGGTTCACGGTGTAGGATTTAGGGTTTAGGATTTAGGATTTAGGGTTTAGGGATTGGGGTTTCGGATTTAGGGCTTAGGGTTTATCGGGTTTAGGATTTAGGGTTTAGGGTTTGAGGATCAGGGTTTAGGGTTTGGGGTTTGGGGTTTATGGTTTATGGTAAGGGGCCGAAAGAGCTACCAATACTATCTTGGTGGGACGTGCTCTACTGCGTGCATTGGAGGGCGCCACAGAGTCATATCTTGCGGAATCTTGCGGCTCCTTGCTGGAAATACTACTTTAACGGACTCCTAGACCCTATTCCTCCTAAACCCTATTCCGACTATTGCTACCTGTACTGTACTTATATTGGATCGGGGTTTAGGGTTTAGGATCGTCAATAGGGTCTGCTATGACGAATTTGACAAATTCGTCATAGCAGACCCTGCATCAACACACTGTATACTCTGTACCAAGACCCTACTCAAAGTATACAAGCCTTGCACTAGGCTTTGGAGAACCTATGCGTTGGTTTTGCGATCTCTTTGTTTCGGTGGTCTTGTTTCTAATCATTTTGGGAACTTAGCATGCAGGGTCCTGCTGCTCTGGAAGCGCCAGAGCGTCTTGGACGACTGAAGGAGTCTAAGATACTTTAGGGGTTTTGGGTTTAGAGTTTAGTGTCTAGTGTTTAGGGTTTAGAGTTTAGCATTTGGTGTGCAGCGTTTACAGTGTAAGATTTAGGGTTGAACAGTTTCGGGCGTAGGTTTGTGGATGCGCCGGTTGCTGCATGAACTTTCCTTTCAGTCGGGTTGCTCCTCCCAGCGCATCCTGTTGGGTCTTGCAGGTGCTGCTGTTTACGGTCGGGGGACTTAGTAACTAGTTATTTTATAGACTTATAAGTACCATAACACCAATAAGGATCCTTTTTAGGATACTTATAGCTCTACTTAATATCTACTTACTAAGTTTCCCGACCCTCCAAGTAAGGTTTAGGAGGTTGCCGGTGTAGCTGATGACGCCCATAGCCAGACGATAGTACCGGCACAGGGCTCTCGCTCCTTCTTTTCATCTCCGTTCCTGCGAAGCCAGTAATGTAGGGGCCTTAATAACTAGAAGAGGGTTTGGAGGTATATTATACTATAATTACAATCAGAAACCCCAAAATTTCAAAACCCTATTCTATTTATCAAGGCCTCTACACTATGTACATCAGCCTTGATAGCTGTATGCGCGTACTTTCGCATGCAGGGCTGCACAGTGACACGGTTGTTCCTCGAGGTAGACCAGACCTGAACCCCAAACCCTGCAACCCTAAACCCTGAAACACTAAAACTCTACAACCCTCAAAGCCTAAACCCTAAACCCTGAAACCCTAAGCCCCACAACCCTAAACCCGAAAACCCCAAACCCCAAACCCCAAACCCTAAACCCTAAACCCTGAAACCCAGACCCTAAACCCGAAACCCTGAGACCCTAAGCCCTTTAAAGGAACCCTTTAAAGGAACCCTGAGACCCTAAACTTGAACCTCGAGGTTTCATACGCTTTTCGTGCATGACATTCCCCGCCTCACGCTGGAGGAGAAGTGACAAAAAGGGTCACTACTTGGAGGGTCGAGGGACTTAGTAACTAGCTATTATTATGGACTTATAAGTACCTTGGGGTTAGGATCCCTTTTAGGGTACTTACAACGCTACTTATTACCTACTTACTAAGTCCCCCGACCCTCCAAGTAGGAGTGTTACCAGAAGGGTTGGATTTAGGGTTTAGGGATGAGGGTTACCAGAAGGGTTGCTATGGATTTAGGGTTTGGTGCTCTGGGTTTACAGTAGGATTTAAAATGTTTGGTGTAAAGGGTTTTCCCAGGAATGTAGATGCGGTTTAAGCGGATGTGAATAGAGGTTTTGGGCTTGGGGTTTAGGGTTACTATTCCGGGGAGTGCCGTATTAAAAATACAGAAAACCCTAAACCCTAAACCCTAAACCCTAAACCAACCCTTTTCCGTTTGGGGTTTAGGGTTAGGGCTTCGGCTGTGGGATTTGTGGGTACGCCTTTCCCGAGACCAGCTCCGGTCTGGGGACTCCTCTTAGGGTTTTAGGGGCTCCACTTAGGGTGTAGGGGTTTAGTGTTTTTTTAAGGTTTTCCTGGGGTTTAGGGTTTAGGGGTTTAGGGGTTTAGGGGTTTAGGGGTTTAGGGTTTAGGGGTTTAGGGTGTTAGGGCTTTAGGGGTTTAGGGCTTTAGGGTTTAGGGTTTAGGGTTTGGTAGGGTTTTGGGGT